CCTCCCTGTGATCCTTGCCTTGAGTTGATGACAATCGGGACCTCCCTAGAGTTGAGAAAATAATTTCCCAGAATCAGTTCATGCTTGCTGATTTCCCAGAATCAGAGCATTGTGCAAAGCCTCTGATGTATTCCACCTCACAAATGACTCTCAACAATTGGGCAGCCCACTTTACAAATGACGGAGGCTGTGGTCCTGACTCTCAGTCAGAGAACTAGTGCGGGACATAACTAGGACTGGGGTTCAGAGCCCCAGCACTTGCCCACCCAGGCCTCCTACCAGGTAAGTGAAGGCCAGACTTGACTGCTGGAAGGAGAGGGCATATCCCTAGATTAAGTTGCTCCTCATCTGAATCAGGTCTGAGGCCCCCAGAGCCCTCATGCCTTCCCTCCTTTCTAGGTGAACTATTAATGACCACATTAATTAATCACCCTGCTTAAAATGACCTCACCTCTCCTCTTCCCAGCTGTATCGTTCTCCTTAACACATATCACTATCATGTAATATATTTCCCAATTTAAAAATCATATTTCTTGTCTTTCCCTGCTGATTTGAAATGTGAGCCCCATGACGGCGAGGATTTTTGTCTGTTTGGCTCATTGCTGTATCTCCAGTGCCTACAACAGTGCCTGGACACAGTAGGTGCTCAATAAAGTTTGTGGAGTGCAAAAGTGAATGTTAAAACCCTTCAGATGGCTTTCCAACATGTTCAGAATAAAAGCCAAGCCCCTCTCTGCTGCCCACAAGGCCTTACATGGTCTACCCCATCAGCTCCCTGCCCTCATCTCCCTCTCCCGCCCTCCTCACTCACCCTGCTCCAGCCACAAGGGCGTCCCTGCTGGTCCTTGAATAAGCCAAGCTTATTGCTGCCTCAGGGCCTTTGCAGAAGCTCTTCCCTCTACCTTCTCCCATATACACACACGGCTTTCCCTCACCTCCTCAGATCACTGGCCAAATGTCACCTCCTCAGGGAGGTCATCCTTGATTCCCTTCCCTATCCCATCACCAAGTTTTACTTCCTTCTCAGCAGAAATCTTTAACTGAAATGATCAGCCATCCCCCTACTTCAATGTCAGCTCCACCATGGCAGGGATTTAGTTTTTTGTCATTGCTGTGTCCCCAGGACAGTGCTTTGCAAACAGTAGGTGCTCAATAAAAGAGCTCGGTGTGTCCCGGAGGGGCTGCTCCTTACCTGGATCACTGCTGCCCCCAGCGAGCCCCCACTCAGGTTGAAGCTCTGAGTCTTGGTTATTTTCAGGAGCTTAGGGAAACAGCCCTGAGGATACAAACATCAAAGCAGGTGGGGCGGGGTGAGGGGCTCATGAACTCCAAGTCCCCGTCAATGCCCACCCAGTGGGCCACCCAAATTCCTCTCGGATTCAGGCAGGAGAAGAGGACAAAGACACAAGGAGCTTGGCTCCTTCTCACTTGACTGCCCCCCACCCCACCCCAGCATCTCCCCTGGTATCCTCATTGCCCCTCACTCCAGAACATACCACTCACCCCCTGCATCCATCTGTGCTGACACCCAACTGTGGTGATTAAGAGTATGACCAGATGTCCCAAATTATTGCTAGCTGTGTGACCTTGGAGGAGTCACTACACTTCTCTGTGCCTCAGTTTCCCCAACTGTAAATGGGACCAAGTGGATCTGCCTCACAAGACTTTTGTGAGGATTAAAAGAATCTCATGAAGTACACAGCAGTGGCCTGACACACAGTCAGCATTCAGTAACTGTTAGTTATTTCTGAGTGCTCTTTATATATGAAAGTGCCTTCTCAGCCTTTACAAGTATTTTCTCACTCAGTTCTCACTACATCCCCATGAGGTGGGTACTATTCTTTTCTCTGTTTTATAGGTGAAGAAACTGAGGCTCAGAGAGATTAAGAGACCAGACATAGTGGGTAGGCGGGGCAGCCACCTGCAGAGGATGGGACCTCCATTCCCCTTTCTGCAGTCACTGAGATGCTCCTCCCTCTAGGCCCCTGGCACTTCTTGTTTCTGGAAGCGTGGGCTGCCTTGAGCTTGCTGTTGACACAGTTCAGTGCCCCCCCTTCACTCAATAGGCATTTATTAAGTGCCAGTTGTGTGCTGGGCACTGAACTGGGCACTGGGAACCCAACAAGGTACAAAACAGACGAAATTTCTGCCTTGGTGGGACCGATATTCGAGTGGGGAAAAGAGGTAATGAGCAAGGACGGCAATACCATTGTCAGGTGGTGATCAGGCACTGAGCAGACACTGAAGCAGGGAGAGGAGATGAAGCGTGATGGTGAGTCGGGGTAGGGGGGTCCTCTTATAGAGAGGAGATTAGGAACAGCCTCACCAAGGAAGTGACAACTGAGCACAGATTTGAAAGAGATGAGGTAGGACGACATTTGGGGGAACAGTGTTCCAGGCAGAGGGAATGGCCTGTGCAAAGGCCCTGAGGCAGCATATGTCTGGTGTGTTTGCATGTCAGCGAGGAGGCCAGTGTGGCTGGAGTGGAATGAGTGGGAGGAGACGAGGTGAGGAGGTGACAGGCAGGTTGTACAGGGCACATTGGGCCAGTGTGTGGCCCCCATGTCCATCTCTGAGGCCCTGGCCTTGGACTCAACCCGGCCAATTCATAGGGTCTGGCTCCCAGTAGGAGCCGTTCTGTGTGAATGGATGAATTAATGAATGGTTCCTACTTCTTCCCTCAGGGAAGACCCTTGTGGTCACTCACCACAGCAGAAGTTATGGGGAAGCTGGGCTGGGGTTGGAAGGGAACCTCTCTGTGCCTCAGTCTCCTCATCTGGAAAATGGGAGAAGAGCAGTCCCCACCTTGAGGGGTGCGATGGGGATTGAACCCACAAAGCGAGTGCCCGGTCGAGTGGCTGCCATCACTATTGTTAGGATGATCAAGTGTCATCATTATTGCTGAAGTTCAAGAGTACGGCAGGCGGTGTGGCCCAGACAATGGACTCAGGCCAAAGTGGATTCAAATCCCAGCTCTTGAACCCGTCACGTCCCCTCCCCGAGCCTCAGTTTCCCCATCTGTGAAGTGGAATGGTAACACAACTCCCCAAGGCTGTGTGGTCGAAATGAGCTGAACACCCCATGAGAGCTGCTTTCTTTCTCCCCCGACCCCCTCTGCTGGAGTCACACAAATATGCAATTTTTGTAAAAGTCATCAGCCTTGGGGTCTGTCTAAGTGACACCCAACAAAATCTCGAGTTACCTCCCAGTGGACGATGTCTGTAGACGCGTTGCGCCCATCACAGGCCACCGTCCCGATGGACTTACAGCAACTCCTGGGGTAAGTGTGGCCGGTCGTCATTTCAAAGGAGGAGCCGGAAAAATCCGTGTGGTTCTTCACTCCACAGCACTTCAGCTGCAGAGAGGAGAATAAACACTTGAAGCTCCCTTTTAAATATTAAAATAATAAGCACAATAGAAATCACGGTCACCATGGCTACAATATTCCAGGCCTACGCTAACTGCCTCCCTTACTCTCCCCCATCACGGCTCAGAACCCTCCATGGCTCCCATCTTCCTTGGGGTAAAAGCTGAACTCCTCACCAGGGCCCACAGGCCCCGCACAATGTTCCCTGTCACCTCCAGGCCCTCATCTCCCCTCACTTGCCCTTTCACTCAGCTCCAGCCACACCAGTCTCCTCACTATTCCTCAAACACACTTATCAAGCACCAGCCTCAGGGCCTTTAGACAGGCTGTTCCCTCTTTTTAGAATGCTATTCCCTCAAATATCTGCACGGCTCCCTCCCTGACTTCATTCAGGTCTCTGTTCAAATGTCCCTCCTCAGGAAGGCCTGCCCGACCCCTCTTTCTAAGTCAGCCACAACCCTGTATCAGTCAGACTGGGCTAAGTGATGCTGCGTAACAAGCAACCCCTCCATCTCAGCAGTTCATTTCTCACACCACACGCCCATCACAACGTGGCAGGGCAACTCAGTTTATCAAAATCACCCAGGGACTCAGGCGGATGGAGTGGCCACCATCCAGATGGTTCCACTTTGGTGGCAAAATGAAAGAGAGCTCTGGAGGGCTGTGCACTGGCGATTAAATAATTTGGCCTGAACACATCTCACTTCTGTTTATAGCTCACTGGCCAGAACTCGTCATGGGACCCCCTCAACCAATTATAAAGAGGCCAGGACGGGCCATCCCACTGTGTGCAGAAATAGGTGATGCATAGCACTTATGAGCAAACAAAACCCTTGCTCTCTAGGACCTTTCCTTGCCTTGTTTTCCTTCATAGACTTATCACCCCTGAGACCAATGTTTACCTAGCAATTTCCTGTCCGTCTCCCCACTCAAGTGTCAGCATCACAGGGCAAGGATTTTGTTTTATGCCCTCCCATGTGTCCAGACCCCTGAGCAGTGCCGGCACACAGTAGGTGCTCAAGAAGATTAGTTGAGGGCCATATGAATGAAGGAGAGAGAGTCTCTACCATCTCAAGTTTGAGAAGCCAAATTGGGATCCACTACTATCGGGGGCCCTTCCCAAGCCTGATCACGACCCCATGGCAGTTCCTGGGCCCAAGACTCGCATGTGAAATGCCCCTAGAGACAGGCAAAGGCTCTTCCCATCCACACCCGCCCTGGGCCTCAGACCCCTTCCTCGACCACCTGACCCAGGAGCTTAGGTGACACATGGAGGCAGTCCTGCTCCTTAAACACCAAGACTCAGGATGCGAGTCTCACCACATCCCACCCAGGAGGATGGCTACTATCAAAACACCAGAAAAATGGGGCCAGCCCCATGGCGTAGTGGTTTAGTTCAGCACGCTCTGCTTCGGTGGCCCAGGTTCATGTGTTCGGATCCCAGGCGGGGAACTACACCACTCATCAGCCATGCTGTGGCAGTGACCCACATACAAAGTAGAGGAAGATGGGCACAGATGTTAGCTCAGGACCACTCTTCCTCACACACACACACACACACACACACACACAGAAAATAACAAGTGTGGACGAGGATGCAGAGAAACTGAGACCTTTGTGCTTTGCTGATGGGAATGTGAAATGGTACCACTGTTGTGGAAAACAGTATGGAAATTCCTCAAAAAATTAGGCATAGAGGAGCTTGCCCTGTGGTATAGTGGGTAAGTTCCCACACTCTGCTTCGGCGGCCCAGGGTTTGCAGGTTCGGATCCTGGGTGCGGACCTATGCACAGCTCGTCAAGCCATGCTGAGGCCGTGTCCCACATACAGCAACTAGAAGGATGTGCAGCTATGACATACAACTATCTACTGGGGCTTTGGGGAGAAAAAGAAAGGAAGAAGATTGGCAACAGATGTTGGCTCAGGGCCAATCTTCTTCAAAGAAAACAAAAAATTAAGCATAGAATTACCATATGATCCAGCAATTCCACTTCTGGGTATAAAGCAGGGACACAACAGATATTTGCACACCCGTGTTCATAGCAGCCTGATTCACAGTCGCCAAAAGGGGAAGCAACCCAAGTGTCCAGTGACAGAAGAATGGATAAGCAAAATATGGCATTTCTATACAACAGAATATTATTCAGCCTTAAAAAGGAAGGAAATTCTGACATGTTACAATGTGGATGAACCTTGAGGACGTTATGCTGAGTGAAAGAGGCCAGACACAAAAGGACAAATACTGTGTGATTGCACTCATCAGAGGTCCCTAGAGGAGTCACATCCGTAGAGACAGAGAGTAGGATGGTGGGGCCAGGGGCTGGGGGAGGGGGCTGGGGAGTCACTGTTTAACGGGGACAGAGTTTCAGTCTCAAAAGATGAGAAAGTTCTGGACATGGATGGTGGGGATGGCTGCACAACAATTTGAATGTGTTTAATGCCACTGAACTGGACACTTACAAACGGTTAAAATGGTAAATTTATGTTATGTCTATTGTACCGCATTAAAAAGCATCGTGAATCTCACCTGTTCCATGACCAAGTTCCACTCCATGGAATAGTCGTCCGGCTCGTTGAAACCTCTATAATTCTTCCTCAGGGTCACGAAGGTGTGCTCCAAGGCCACCTCTTGAACCTCAAAGATGGAAGAGGAAAGCATACAAAATAGGCAGGTGTCCCACGTGGTGAGGCTCCTTGGGGACAGGGCCGGCAGGTGTGGGTTTCCTTTCTGCTTCCTTCACGTTCCCTGCCCCCAGCCATGGGCCTGCGCTGGAGGGGGACAAGTCAGGCTACCATCGCCCCCGAGAGACGGACCCTGGGAGGAGTGTGGGTCTGGAGCCCATGGCATCTGGTGGTACCCATCACAAACGAGTCTGAATCACTTGCTCTTTCTAATCGCCCACACACCCGCTACACCCCCGATTTGGCTGTAACTCCAATAAAGACTTGAATATCGTCTTTAGCAACAGCATCTCTCTCTCTGCACAAAGGAGCAAATTTAAGTTTCTATTTTTTAAATAAAGGTCTAAACAAAAAATTTTTTTCCAAAGAGGTGATATAGTCACACAGTTCAAAATTCACCAAGCACAGAGGGGGACACCACGAAGTCTCCCTCCCACCTTTTTCTCCCAGCCAACCAATTCCTCCCCCTCCACAGCGATGACTGTTACTGCTTCCTGTGTCCCCAAAGAGACTTTGTATGTGTGTCAAAGCGAAGTCTATTCTCAGCATTTTTCTTCTTGCTTTCTACTACTCTCATTGTTCTGCCTCTGGCTGTTCGTAGCAAGAGTAGCAATTGCTCCGGGGGCCCCGCCCGCCGTGTCCCCGGGGCCGCTGTCCTTTCTGTGCACGCTGGCCTGGCCTGGCATCCCACTGCCAGCGATGCAGAGCTCCCGGGCCCTCTCGGGCGCATGCGCCCTGGGAGGGCCCCTCAAGCCATCAGGGATGGTAGGCGGTGGATCAATACCGCAGCTCCCTCGCCCCTCGCATGGGGAAACAGCAGCGTGTTCTGCACTGCATCGCAGGCGTCCCCCAGCACGACTGAGCCCAGTTGCCCACAGGGTCACCTTTTAAGGACTGCATTCCCCTCCCTGCCTCACTTCCCTGTCCCCTACGCGTGTTTCTTGAGATCTCCTCTCAAATAAAGCACGAGCCTTCCCACCCTTGTCTCAGGGTTAGCCTCTGGGGGGACACAGAAGAGGACAGTCCAATGTCCTGGAGAATGCACCCTCTCCTGCAGACAGGGTCTCCTCCTTCCTTCTTTCCGCCTGCATCAGACTCCCTTGTGTGGATTATTATAAATTAACCTCCCTGCCTTTGATGCTCACTAGGCTGGCGGCAATCTTTTGCACATCCTGGTATGTATGTCATTCTGCACCTGAACAAGCAAATCCTTGGATAATTCCTAGAGATGGGATGGTTGGGTCGAAGTGTCCACGCTTTGTCATTTTCATGCATTTTGCTAAATAGCCCTCTGGTTTGAACACATTTCAAAACTCCAATAACTTTTGCAGCTTTTCCCATTGCGTCTTCCCCACCCCCCCACCCCAAAGGCAAGAGAGGTGGTGGAATGAACTCGGCCTGTTTCTTGAGACCTTCGAGGGGAGGGCTGCGGTTTTCGGCTTTCACACCATCTCCGGAGGCCGGATCTCCGGCCCCGGGACCGGTGGGTCGGGCCATCACTGGACCTCCAGGAGCATGCGCAGAGCGTGGGTGGCTGGGGGTGGGGGGCCTCACTGATTCTGTTTCTTTCTAAAGCCGACTGGGGGAAGCAGCGCTGTACTCACGATCGGTAAGAAGGCCAGGACCACTGTGGCGGCCGTGATTTCCACGAGGAGAATGACAAGCATGAACGAGAAACACTGGAAGACACAGAGGGGGCCGGAGGGGGCTGGGAGCCTGCTCAGCCGCCTCCGTGCCGGGGAGGGGCTGCCTCTCCCCCCACTCCACTCCCAGGCCACGTGGCCTCTCCAGTTGGAAAGAACTCACGCCCAGGCTGGAGGCGTTTCTTTCCTGCCTTGCCTTCCTGCAGGTGGTCCAGGATGCCGGCAGGGCGGTATTCTTAGGAGCCACTCGCTAGGCGCCCATTTCACGCCCACCGCTTTCCGGAGGTCCAGGAGGCCTAAGTGGGGACCTCCTGGTGAGGTAAAGGCTGTGTGTGCAGACAGCAGGGGCCGGTGGAGAGGCGGGAGGGACGGTGGGGAGGAGAAGCAGACCAAGAACCTCAGACCCCCAAATGCGGGGAGAGGTGACAGACTGAAGGGCCCATCCCCGGCCTCAGTTTCCCCATCTGTACAACATGGGCATGGGATGAGCTCAAGGGGTCTCAGTGGGTTCTCTGGAGCTTCTGGAGGCAAAGTAAGGTCAGCTCCTGGCTCCCTTCCATCTATTTCCATCTATGCCTATTATGATTATGATTATGATTATTAAAATCTATTTGATCATTCAGGCCTTGAGTCACTAGATTAGCCAATGGCCAGGCTTATCTTACCTTTACACCCAGAGGCAGGAAAGCACAGTGGATACACACCGGGGCTGTCCCCACAGCCGGCAAGGGCAAACATGAGTTCAGGGCTTAGCAGTTGTGGGGCCCCAGACGAGAGTGGCTCACGTAGCAGATTGTGAAGATTAATAATATTACTATCTCCCGGCCTCTGGGTGACTCAGGCGGCCAGAGGACAGAGATCCAGGCGTCAGCAAGTCCTGTCGGCTCCACCTTCAGAATCTAGCCCAAATCTGCCCACTTCTCACCCCTCCATGGATGGCCCCACCGGGTCCCACTAGGACCAGCACAGTCCCTCTGCCCACGTCCCTCCACAGTCTGTTCCCCCACCGCCGCCAGAGGGCGCCAGTGAACCCCTGAGTCAGGGCATGTCCCTCTGCTCAGAACGCTCCCGGGCTCCCACCGCCATCAAAAGGACTTTGCTTTTCTGAGTGATATCTCAGAAGCTTAAGAGATCAAGAGACACATGCTGAGGGTAAAGCTGATCGGATTTGCTGATGGTTGGACATGGGGTGTGAGAGAGAGGACTCTGATTCCTCCAGGTTAAACTCTGGATAAAATAGTGTCCACATCATACTGAAGATAAATGAAATACTGCAGGGTCGGGACCTGTCCAAGAAATATTTGCTGAACAGAGTAATTAAGAAGGAAAACAAGAGGTGATAGAGCTTCAGAGAGGAGGAGGGTGGGGCGGGTGCTTTTAACAATGGAGGTCGTCTATGCTCTGGGAGACGAGTAGGGAAGATGCTGGGGACAGATTAAACCAAGGTGGGATAATATGCTTAGACAAGATTCTAAGGGAAGTGGGGAAGCTAGGAGCTGGATTCTGGGGAGATGTTTAACCGAGGCTGGATATGAAAATGAGTAAGACATATAAAATCTGTGACATGCTGTCTGCACAGTGCTGGAAACTTCCATACCCCATGTACTTGAAGATGTCTTTGTCCATGCAGGGCGGTTACAAAGGTGTTGTGTTAGTGGAGGAGGTACACATGGGTTGATGGAACAGAGCAGCGTGCCCAGAACAGACCCAAGCACAATGGAAAGAGTGTAGACCATGGAGTGTAGACAGAGGAGGACTGGATGGGCCACTCAGTGAGGGGGACAGTATGTCACCCAGCTGGGAAAAAAATGAATAAAATCAGACCCCTACCTCACACCACACACACACAATCAAACTCCCGAGAGCTAAAGAGCTAACAATGAGAAAGAAAGCAAGACTTAAAATTATTGGAAGAAAACCTAGGAGAGTGTAATTTATGACTCTGGGTAGGGGAAGAGTTCTAAATGAGACAGATCCTAAAGGGAAAGATGGATACATCTGACTCCATCAAATGAAACACCAAAAACACTGTAAAACAGTGGATGCTGATGGAAGGGGGTTGCAGCCTGTGCAATGAAGGATTCATACAGGAGGGGGAAGTTTTGGTGTCTGTGTGCAGATCTGACTTACGAACAGGAGAGTGCCTCTGCTTTCTTTGGTGGCCCCGTACCACCCAGCAAAGCCGAGCAGGACCGTGATGCAGCCCATCACCAGACACAGGTAGCCGACGTGATGCAGGTATGCAGAGCACAGCCCGAGGACCCTCGTCAGGGCAGCCCCTCTGAACGTGACATAGATGCCCAGGCCAATGAGGACCACACCAGACATCTTTGGAACAGAAATAAGACAGAGAAAAGCAGGCTGTTAGCTGCATACAAATAGAACTCTCCTGGGGGAGGAGGGAGGAGGAGCAAAGGTCAATAAAATCAGCAAAAACACTTAAAAATGATAATACCCAGTGTGAGCGAGGATGTGGAGAAACATTCTCATACGTGGCAGCCAGAAACAGAGTTTTTTGGGGAGAGTGGAGGAGGACACTTTGCAATTCATATTTAAAACCTTAAACGTTTTATGGTAAAAATCTTTACCTAGAAATTCCATTTCTAGATACTCAGACTAAGGAAAATAGTCACGTTATGTGCCTCAGTACCAGGATGCTCAGGGATGTTTGTTAAGGACTAAACATAAAACATAACTGGAACAACCAATAATACAGAGTCGGTAGGTAAATCATGGTACAGCCATGCAATGGGACCCTAGGCAGTTACTTTAAATGATGCTATAGGACAGGGTTGGCAATTTTTTTTCTGAAAAGCCCCAGATATTGTGAGCTTTGCAAGCCATAGGTCTCTGTTGAAACAACTCAGCTTTGCCAGTGTTGCTCAAAATCAGCCATACACAATCCATAAACAAATTTATTTTATTTACAAATAAATTTTATCTATTTACAAGGCTGTAGTTTGCTGACCCCTATTGTAGGAGAATGTTTATTGATACGGAAAGATGTTTTTAATGTCTTAATAAGTTTTTTACAAAGTGGATTGTTGGCAGCCAGGCTCCTTGGTATTTACCCAACAGAGATGAAAACTTATGTCCACACAAAAACCTGCAGGTGGATGTTTCCAGCAGCTGTATTCACAATTGCCAAAACTTGGAAGAAACCAAGTTGGCCTTCAGCAGGTGAATGGATAAACTGTGGTCCATCCAGACAATGGAATATTAGCGTTAAAAGGAAATGAGCTATCAAGCCTGAAAAGACATGGAGGAAACTTACAGGCATACTGCTGAATGAAAGACACCAGTCTGAAAAGGCTACATTGTGTGTGATTCCAGGAGTGTGACATTCTGGAAAAAGCAAAACTATGCAGACAGTAGAAAGATCAGTGGTTGCCAGGGGTTAGCGGGAAGGGAGAGATGAATAGGCAGGGATTTTTAGAGCACTGGAACTATTCCATACGATGCTAAAATGGTAGGGACGTTTGTGAAAAGCCATAGAAGGTACACCAAGAGGAAACCCTAATATAAACTTCGGACTTTGAGTGATAATGATGTGTCAATGTAGGTGCATTAATTGTAACAAATGTACCACTCCGGTGGGGGATGTTGATAATGTACGGGGGCAGGCGGTATATGGGGAATCTCGAATGTACCTTCGCTCAATTGTGCCGTGAATTTGAAACTGCTCTAAAAAAACAAAATCTGTTCAAAAGGGGGAAAAAGCTAAATGTTTTTAAAAGGGAGGAAAAAGTGCATTGTAAAGCGATAGCATGCCCCATGTTTGTGTTGCTGTTTTTAAAAGATAGATAGAAAGTCTGGAAGGATACAATCATGATGATGAGATTTATTGAGCAATGTGCCCATGACAGGTATAAGCCGTTTAAATGCCCTGTTTCATTTAAGTCCCATCAAAATGTTACAATACAGGTAACCAGATGAGGGGGGAGGAGGGATACTTAATATCCTTCTGTTTCCTGGCAGCCCTTCCTTATACTGTTCTACTGTAAAAACAATTCCTTCTTCAACAATGAACATTTCAGGTTACTTTTGTAGTAAGAAAAAAACGTTTTGAAAAATTTAAAGGACAGAGAAAATAACCACTCCCTCCTGTCTTTCCCCAGACAACCTAGGTTTCTGCAGGATTTGATTTAGAGCCAAGCTATTCCGCCACTGACCCCTGGGGTCTCGCAGACCACACTCCTCTGGCTCGATTTCACCAGCTCTGGGTCGATGGAGGCTGCGCCTGTTCCCGTGTCCTGCTCCTCGTCTGTCTGCCCTACATCCCTCCTGCTTCCCTGGGGACCACAGATCCGGATGCCAGGAATTTGGATCAACTTATTTCTGTCTTCGAGGGAGCCAGCCGTGCAGGAAGGGCTGCGAAACCCCAGGGCCTGGGTTGTGACACACTTACAGCCGTGATGCCATTGAGGAAAGATAACAGCTTCTTCAAGGAAGCATACGGAGTGTGCATTTCAGCCATGTTGGCCAGACGGGGGTGACTTAAACATTTAAGTCGGCATCTTCTGGCTACTGTTTCCCAAGATGGTAGAGGTCTGGGGTGGGGGCACCAAAGCTGATTTGCTCTGCCCCTGTCTCTCCTGGCTGCCTGATCTTCTGCCGGGGAGGGGGCCCAGGGGCTGCCCCTCCTCAGTCATCAGCCTTTGTCACATCACAATCGGATGTTGGAGCAAGGCTCACGGTGCCAGGGAAGCAGGTGCCCCAAACTGCTCTCTGCTGGATCCTCATCTGGCAAAGAGGACCCAGCAGGGGTGGAGAAAAGGCTGCCCCGGGACCCTCCAGATGCGACCTGGACCCTGTGGGCACAGTGCTCGGAACTGACCACTCATGTGGTTGATGCCCCCACTAGACTGGGGACTCCAAGGGGGCAGGGGCCTGGGCTGTCCTATTTACGTCTGTGAGTAGGTGTTCAAGCAACTGGTGTGCAGTAAATGAATCAAGAGGCTCTATGGAGCAGGAATCCAGCTACAAGCCATCCGGTCCCCCCACTCCCCTACCTACACATTAGCTCACTCGGCTCATCCTTCTCACAGGGCTCAGAGAGGCCAAGATAACTGCCTGAGGCCACACAGGAAGCAGGGTCAAGGCTGGTTTTGAAGCTCCAAGAGTGGCATGAAGGTGGCAACCTGGGACCCCCCTCCCCACCCCAAGAGCCCATCCTTTTTCTGTCTGAGGGCTGCTCTGCCAAAGCTGGTGAAGCGATTGTCCTGGAGCCCCTGTGTCATTGATCACTGGGCTTTTCCTGATGATGACAGAGGCACAGAGGGCATTTCAGGGTGAAAAGGGTGCACGTGGGGCCCTGGAAGCCCCCAGGCCCAGCTCCTGCAGCCCCCAGCCCACATCGCCTCCCCGCCCCCCACCACATCCAGGGCCACCTACCCCAGCCGCGCCCCTGCTGTCCAGCCCCTAGAGGGCTCAGGGCTGTCAGAATCTCGTGACCCCCGGGGCCCAGCTCAAAGAGAGAAAACACTGTGCTTCACACTTGAATTAATTGAATAAATGTTTGTCAAATGGCCTGCTTCTTGGAGCAGGGAGAACTAAGCAAGATGTTCATGGAGGGTGACTGTCTCCTTCCCGGACCGTGGGCCACGTTCACAGCTAGGAGCAGTCTTTGCACGTCCTTCTCTAAAAGGTCACTTGAAATAAGGGGCCCCAGAGCCAGGGGCTGAGGGCCGGAAAGTGGAGGTGCAAAAGAGGGCGAGGAAATGGGGGTGCAAGGGAGCATGGGACAATGCAGGGTGCAAAGGAGGGTGGAGAAAAGGGGGACACCGAGGAGCGGTGGGGATGGAAGCAGGGATGCAAAAGGGCGGGAAAATAAGGGACGGAAAAGGGCGGTGAGGGTTGGAAGCAGAGAGTGGTGTAGACACAGGGGCGCGGTGGAGCCTACGGTTCAAGGGGGGCGGCCCGGGCGGGAAGCGCCCCCGCGGCAGCCCCGCCCCCCGCGGCAGCCCCGCCCCCCGCGGCAGCCCCGCCCCCCGCGGCAGCCCCGCCCCCCGCGGCAGCCCCGCCCCCCGCGGCAGCCCCGCCCCCCGCGGCAGCCCCGCCCCCCGCGGCAGCCCCGCCCCCCGCGGCAGCCCCGCCCCCCGCGGCAGCCCCGCCCCCCGCGGCAGCCCCGCCCCCCGCGGCAGCCCCGCCCCCCGCGGCAGCCCCGCCCCCCGCGGCAGCCCCGCCCGGCTTCCCTGCAAGGCAGCGGCCCAGGTCCCGGCCTCGCACGCCCCCTGGCGGTCGTCAGCGGAAGCGCGGCCCCCGGTGCCCCCCAACTCTGGCGTCTCCCAGCCAGACTCAGCCGACGCCGAGACGGAGGGACAGGCCCCCACCCCCAAGTCCCCCCACACACGCCCTTTGAATTGACGCGAAGAGACAGAATTGTGCAAACGCCCGGCGAATTACAAAGGCAAGACCTTTGGTAAAATAGAATGCAGAAAACCAGTTTATCAGAAACAGTTCAAAGGTTCTAGAAAATAGTGACAGGCTCCCCTTGAAGTGGCGCTGCAGAGCCATTAGGAGGACGCTGGAATACCGCTGCAGAAATAACGAAAGAGCCATGCCGGTACTTTGATAACAGGGCTCACGGTGTGTTGCGAGAGTCCTAATTTACTTCTCCACGTGCTCGGTCGCCTTCCTTATGTTTTAGGAGATGTTTTTAAAAAGCAGGATTTCCAAGAAAATCGAGTGTCTTAAATACACGCACACACACACACACACACACACACACACACACACACACACAGAATTTGTCAGTGGCCCATGTTGGTCTATGAACTGCCCTTAAATTCCTGTATTTGTCATCAACGGCAGCAACAGGGGGCCCAGGAGAGAGGTTCATCTGGTCGACTGTTCGTGTAAAATTTGCAGCATTCATATATTTGTGTGTTTAGACCCCACAACACCTGGATCCACCCCTGACGAGGAGACGTTTTATGGTTTAAGGTATTTCAGTGACAGTCATTGGGAGAGGAGGTGACAAATCAGAATCCACCATCCAACAGGAAGGTCTGGAGTGCAGGAAAGAAAGGCGTTTGTCCATACTGAGGCTGGTCTACTTTCTTGACGTCATTCGCTCGCTCTGGGGTTCCCAGGCCACGGGCTTCAGCCCTCAATGAGGATGAGCACATGCTGTCACCAGGTTGTGACATCATGGGCTGAAATGTTTGAGGAGACAGTAGAGGACCATAGGGACAATCATTGCTGCCAATTGAAAAGGAAGCAGAGAGCATTTCCACTGTTAGAGATTTTTTTGTTTGGCTAGATGGTTTTTAAAATTCTGTTTGTTTCATCTTTTTCACATTCTGACCTATTTTAGAGCCTTTGTGCTCTGAGTGCTGAGGGCTTGTGGGTTGGGAGGCGACAGGGAGGCCCCTGTCTTGTAGGGACACTTATTGTTCTCCCCAGGTCTTCTTTCTTGCCACATAAAAATCTAGCATTTCTACCTCTTCAGCCCTGCAGAGTCTTAGCTTCTGGAAAGGAGAGCCATTAATCAAGGAGCACCCAGAGATTCTGGATGATGTTCAAAATACTCAGCCACAAAGTACTGCCCAGGCAGCAATGAGCCAGACAGAGCAGAGCATCTCAGGCATGTCAACGCTGTAAGGCTGGGAGGCCTGGGGGTCCCGGCAGAGGGTTCAGGCAGAAGCAGCTGCCAGACCAGCGGGTGCAGGCAACACTTCTCGAGGGGTCTCCCATTCTTGTTAGCATGTGGATCTTGGGTTATGGCTTGTTAGCATGTGGATCTTGATGTGGTGGCTTGTCCCAGCGTGGCCAAGGCTGTTCCCATCCCACATGCCTCAACTCTCTCAGTTAAACACACTGAAAAGCTCATAAATAGCTTTTAGAGATTTTGCACCTTCCATGTCTCAGGGAGGACCTGTAACAACAGCAAATAGTACTTTTTAAAGCATACGGGGAGCATTTCCCCTTCTAGGAATTTCTACTACAGATTTATTCAAACACTTATAGACCAGGGCTTAACAAACTTTTTCTGGAAAGGGCCAGGGAATTCTTTTTTTTTTTTTTTTTGGTGAGGCAGATCAGCCCTGAGCTAACATCTGTGCTAATCCTCCTCTTTTTGCTGAGGAAGACCGGCTCTGAGCTAACATCCATTGCCAATCCTCCTCCTTTTTTTCCCCCAAAGCCCTGGTAGATAGTTGCATGTCATAGTTGCACATCCTTCTAGTTGCTGTATGTGGGACGCAGCCTCAGCATGGCCGGAGAAGTGGTGCGCCGGTGCATGCCCGGGATCCGAACCCGGGCCGCCAGTAGGGGAGCGCACGAACTTAACCACCAAGCCACGGGGCCAGCCCAGGGCCAGGAAATTCTGACACATGCTGCAACATGGGTGAACTTTGAAAATATCATGCTGAGTGAAATCAGCAAGTGTATTCATCAGCTAGGCTGTGTAACAAAGTACCCCAGACTGAGTGGCTTCAACAACAGAAATTTATTTCTCAGTGTTCTGGAAGCTAAAAGTCAGAGACCAAGGTGTGGGCAGGGTTGCTTTCTCCTGAGGCCTCTCTCCTCGGCTTGTGGACGGCCGTCTTCTCTCCACGTCCACACATGGTCGTCCCTCTGTGCGTGTCTGTGCCCTCATCTCCTTGTCTTATAAAGACACCAGTCATATTGGATTAGGGCCCATCTGTATGACCTCATTTAACCTTAATTATCTCTTTAAAGGCCCTGTCTCCAAATACAGTCACATTCTGAGTTCCCGGGGGTTAGGACTTCAACACATGTATTTGAGGAGGACATAATTCAGCCCATAACAGCCAGTCAAGAAAAGACAAATACTGTGTGATTCCACTCATAGGAGGTCCCTAGAGGAGTCACACTCATAGATACAGAAAGTAGGACGGTGGGGCCAGGGGCTGGGGGAGGGGGGTGAGGAGTCAGTGTTTAATGGAGACAGAGCTTCAGTTTCAAAAGATGAGAAAGTTCTAGAGATGGATGGTGGTGATGGTTACATGACAATGGGAATGTACTTAATGCCACTGAACTGGACACTTGAAAATGGTGAATTTTATGAGTAGCAGGAATACAGGCCTCCTGGTGGGAGGAGAGGGAGACGACTGGGTTCAGCACACAATTCCGTTCCTGCAGCTCCTGTAGAATTTCATCTCCAGCCCCGATCACGCTGGGCAGTGTAGTGGGAGGAATATTGTGCCCCCCACAAATTCGTGTCCACCCAGAGCCCCAGAGCGTAACCTTATTTGGAAATAGGATCACTGCAGATGCAATTAGTTAATGATCTCGAGATGAAATCATCCTGGATTTAGGTTGGGCCCCACACCCAATGACTGGTGTCCTTATAAGAGAAAGGACAGGGAGATTTGGACACAGAAAGGACTCAGAGGCAGAGATTGGAGTGATGCGGCCACGAGCCAAGGGACGCCAGGGGCCACCAGAAGCTGGAAGACGCAAGGAGGGGTCCTCTCCTGGAGACATCGGTGGGAGCGTGGCCCTGCTGCCAGCTCAGTTGCAGACTTGTGGCCTCCAGAACCGTGAGAGAATAAATATTTGTTGTTTTAAGCCTCCACGCTCCTGGTAATTTATTACAGCAGCCCTAGGAAATTAACACATGCAGGAAACAGCCTGGGAGATGGCATGTATGTCAGCTTCCTGTGCGAGGAGAAACACAAGGTTTGGGAAAAGGGTCCCCTTTCGGGGAGGGGTCCCTTTCTTTCTTAAGACTATGATCCTGTTCAGATCTTGCTGGTGGCTTTGGCTTTTAAACAATTAAAACGTTTTCAATGGAACATCCGGATTTGGGGCTTCTCTTGGAAAATCCAGAAATGTGGCTGTGTGGGATCTGCCCTCCTCCCCTGTGGCCACATGTGGCTGAGCTGAGTGACTGCTGTCCCCTTCCTGGAGGGGGTGTGGGGTCACTTTCCAGTCTGCAGTGTGCCCCCACCTCCCTCGAGTTACCTGCCACCCAGGTAGGCATCTGAGTTGTGGCCCCGCAGACAAGACGGCCTCCTGACTGGGACGTCCAATGGGAGTCCCCGCAGGGAGGGCCCGGCTGTAGCCACTGGTAGAAGGGGGGGCCGTCAGAGGGGACAATGGTTGGCTAGTCCAGGTGGCTGCAGTTGCCTTCCCTCATGAAGAGATGGAGGGCGGGATCCACCCACCATTAAGATCATTCAAAACCCAACCACTTTGCACCACCTTCCAAGGACCAGTCCCTGTCATTGCTCACCTGGACCAACAGTCACCAGGGCAGGTCTCCTGGCTCCTGCCCTCACCCCCCACAGCCACCAGGGGGCGCCTGTGAGCACCTGAGTCATTTAGGTCCATCCTCTGTATAGAATCCTCCATGGCTCCCACCTCACTCAGAACAAAAGCCAGAGTTCTCCCCGAGACCCACAAGGCCCCACAGGATCTTCCTGTCACCTCCTCACCCTCACCTCCTCCTGTCCCCTCCCTCCATCACTCTGTTCCTGCCACACCGGCCTCCTCGCTGCTCCTCCAGCACAGTGAGCTCCTGCCTTTCCTCTGTCTCTTTGTGGTTTTCTAGGTTCGATCCTCCTGCCCCTGTGTTCTTGCTTCTAGCAAGTCACTCACCAGGAGGCAGACCCGCAGGCAGGCCAGGGTGCCGAGACAAAACTGAGGGTCATTCACCAGCCAGGCAGAAAGTTAGGCAGGGATGGGACCTACACGCCCCACTTCTTTTTATCATCAGTTTCTGAAATCTTACAGGATCGTGGCTCAGCCTATAACAGGCCAGAGGACATATTCTTCACAGAAATATATTTTCTGCAAAGAACGCAAAGCCATTAAAATCAGCAGAGCTACTGAATCCACAGCGTTTCTTCTAAAAAAGGAGGACGACTTATTTGTGAACTTGAACTGCCAAACTGCGCTGGAGTGATTCACAGCTGCTGGTGTAGATTCTGGAGCTGCCCCCCTGAACAACTCTAGGGGGCGCCACTCCAACAGAAAACAGTATACATGGCACCTCCTGGAACTTTCTAGCGCTGCCATCCACACCTACAGGGATACATAACCATTCCTGCTGACTGTGTCAGGCCTTCCCTCTCGGGCAGGTGGATGGGTCAGTCTTTTCTTCTTACTGATGGCCTAATGAAGTCCCTGGAAACCTGTCCATGGGGAATTAAAATATATGGTCAGGCAGAGGATGTAAATTGGTACAGCTGAGAGGAAGGGGGTTTGGAACTAGGTAGTGAAGTCAGCATCCACCAGCATTTCACCTTCCAGCTTCCATCTCTTCTAAGGAAACCCAAAACTGTGATTCTAGAGCTGTCCACCACACTGTCATTTATAAACGTGAAAAGGGGGAAGCAACCTAAATGTTGTCAACTTAAAAAGCAGATTTGCCTGTTATTTTATCTCAAAATGAGTTTATTCAGGAGCAGCACAAAGAATTACAATTTGGGATGTGCATGCTATGGTAAACCATAGGCAAATCCAGCAAATGAAGAAGGGGAGCTGCTTTTATAGAGAAAAGGGGGATTGGGAGGGGCTGTTCTAAAGGAAAGTCCATTGGAGGAAAGTAACAGTTCCTGGTGGCAATGGCTTCTCATTGGCTGAGCTGCAGTGTTTCTCATTGGCTGGGCTGTGGCGTTTCTCATTGGCTGAGCTGCGGTGTTTCTCATTGGCTGGGCTTTGGCTTTTCTCATTGGCTGGGCTGTTGTTGGGTGGGGAGAGAAATCTTCTTTCAGTAGTGAGGATGTGTGATAGGGCATGAGGGCTCCCCCTACATGCCTTCCTGACTCCAATTTAGTTAAGGTTTTTTGTTTTTGTTTTTGTTTTTGTGAGGGACATCAGCCCTGAGCTAACATCCGTGCTAATCCTCCTCTTTTTGCTGAGGAAGACCGGCTCTGAGCTAACATCTATTGCCAATCCTCCTCCTTTTTTTTTCCCCCAAAGCCCCAGTAGATAGTTGTATGTCATAGCTGCACATCCTCCTAGTTGCTGTATGTGGGACGCGGCCTCAGCATGGCCGGAGAAGCGGCTCATCAGTGCGCGCCCGGGATCCGAACCTGGGCCGCCAGCAGCGGAGCGCGTGCGCTTAACCACTAAGCCACAGGGCCGGCCCTAGTTAAGGTTTTTAAATTATTTTTCACAGTTAATAATGATGTATCAGTATTGGTTCATCAGTTGTAACAAATTTGTCACACCAAGGCAAGATATTAATAATAGGGCAAACTGTGTGTGAGGGGAGAGGAGATATACAGGAACACTGTACTTTCCATTCAATTTTTCTGTAAGCCTAAAACTTTTAAAAATAAGCTCTATTAATTAAAAAAAAAAAGAAACCTAGTAGTGGCATCTATTTTTTGCTCCAAACTCATTTGCGCTGTTTGACATTTAGTTTATTTTTTAAAATCTTCTTTAATGAGGAAATATAACATAAATCCAGAAAACCCCATGTGCAGGTATGCCTGATCTAATGAATCATGACAAAGCAGACAACATTGTTAGCTTGTTTCGTAATTTTATATATATAACATAGTACTGAAGGTGTGATTTTTATGAGTTGCTGGGAAGGCAGTGTGGTGCGTTTGTGGAAATTAATAAAAGAAACCTTAACTAAGTTAGAGTCAGGAAGGCCTGTAGGGGGAGCTCTCACACCCTATCACACCTCATCGATTACACCAAACAGGAAGAGAGGGACTTGCATCATCCGCAGGGAGCAAAACCACTTCACAACGGAGGGAAGATTTCTCTCCCCACCCGGCAACAGTACAGCCAACGAGAAACGCCACAGCTCAACCAATGAGAAATGCCACAGCTCAGCCAATGAGAAATGCCACAGCTCAGCCAATGAGAAATGCTACAGCTCAGCCAATGAGAAACGCCACAGCTCAGCCAATGAGAAGCACCACAGCTCAATCAATGAGAAGCTGTTGCCACCCTGAACTGTCACTTTCCCCCAGTGGACTTTCCTTTAGAACTGCCTCTCCCTATTCCCCCTTTTTCTCTATAAAGGCAGCTCCCCCTCCTTTGTTTTCCAGATTTGCCATGGGTTGCCATAGCACACACATCCCGAATTCCAATGCTTTTGGCTTTTCCTGAATAAACTCATTTTGAGGTTTTTGAAGCCAACATGTTCCTTAAGAACATGGGAATCCCTTCTCTGCTGTTGACTCACTGTGGGGCCCAGGGTTGCTGTGAGATTAAATGAAATAACATATCCCCATTTTACAGATGAAGAAACTGAGGCACAGAGGTTTAAACACCTGGCCAACATCACAGATTCAGAAAGTGGTGGGAGCCAGAATTTGACCCCAGGTCCCCAGTCTTAGCCAGCACGCAGATGTATTTGGTGTATACTCACCCTTCCTTTCCCCACACAAATGTAGATACAGACTTTCTTATCTTAAAATGTGGAATCCACCACCGCCTTGGAGGTTCAGTGGTGTGGAAAATGATCTCAACGCGTTGCTAAGAGGACACAGCACGTTCCAAAATTGTGCATTCAGAACAATCCCAACTTTTGAAAAATTATCATGGATACTTGTTCCGTAGAGAAAAATGCCAGAAGGCAATCCACAAAAACATCAGCATTGGTGGGCTTTGGGGTGACTTATTTTGTTCTCATGTTGTCTTTTCTGAAAATGTTCACAAATTGTCTATAATGAGCATGTGTTCCTCTGGCATGCAGAAAAAAATGCTCAGAAAATGGAGGGGGCAGCTGGCCTGGTGGCCTAGTGGTCAAGTTCCTGCACTCCGCATTGGCAGCTCAGGTTCACAGGTTCAGATCCCTGGCGCAGACCTACACCACTCATCAGCCATGCTGTGGTGGCGTCCCACATACAAAATAGAGGAAGATTGGCACAGATGTTAGCTCAGTGACAATTTTCCTCAGGCAAAAAGGGGAAGATTGGCAATGGATATTAGCTCAGGGCCAGTCTTCCTCACCAAAAAAAAAAAAAAAAGGAAAAAAAGAAAAGAATATGGAAGGATGTTATGATTGTTTGTAAAAAGTGCCCCAGGCGATCAGAGGATAGATGCCCACGCTGAATGACCATCTTCAACCGGGGCCTCTGCATTCTTGGGAGGGTTTTCTCTCCATCTCAGCGGATGCTCCTTGCTGAGTCTGGCAGGGACATTGGAAACCACGACCTCATCTTGGACCAGGCAAGGGAGAGAGAATTTGCAGAAACAAAGAGCAGCTCTGACCTGAAACTTAGCCAGGACCTGAGGGGTCATGGAAAACAATCCCGCCCAGCACAGGAATTTCCTTTGCAGCCTGCGTTCAGACTGTTTTCTGTGGTTCGCTCTTAAAAGATCTGAGAGAGTTGATGTATACATTTCTTGGAGCCATTACTCCATGCATGGTGCTTAACAAATGGTCTGGAATCTTCCCTCCCATACTTGGAGGTAGCTGCCATTGTTACACCCATTTTATAGATGAGAAACCAGAGGGACAGTGGGGGAGGGCTCATGCCCCAGGCCGCACTGCCGAGATTTGAAGGCTGGTCTCCTGAGTCTAAATTCGGGGCTTTCTTTTGATGGGTGGTGTTTGCCCGTTCACTAATTCATTCAATTTTTCATTCAACAAGCAACCATTGAGCACCCAGTGTATGCCAACCGCTGTGCCAAACAAGACAGACGCAGCCCCTGCCATCCTGAACTCAGATACTTTAAGGACCCAGATGTGTCAACAATCACAGTATTGGACCTGGCTTCTTTCTGACAACATGGGACGGCGGGGATCTCACTCCCTGTTAAAGGAACCTGGTCCGTTATTGGTGGACTCCTGTCTGACCCCTTCTTCCTCAGGAAGTGCTCAGGCTCCCCTAAGGCAAAGGGGACTCTGCACCCACAGCTGTCCCATTTGGAAGTCCAGCCTAACCTCTGCGTCATTGTCCCCTCCTGCTGAGCCTGGCTCCCGGAGTCTGCCAGGGGTCGCCTCTGGCCCTCGGCCCTCAGCCCTCTAACAGCCGGAGACCCGAGAGCCATCAGCTGGCACCGATGTCTAGCTTCACTATTTAAAAACAAAATGAAGTCTGGCCATTTTTCATCACAATATTAGCCTGTGCTATGATTCCACTTATAGGAACTATCTAGAAAAGGAAAGGTCATAAGACAGAAGGTAAAATGAAGGTTACTGGGGTGGGGGGAGGAAGGAATGAGGAGTTATTGCTTAATGGGTGCAGAATTTCTACTTGGGGTGATGAAAAATTTTGGAAATGGACAGCGGTGACAGTCGCAAGACATTATGAATGTAATTTATTTTAAGGCTTTTATTTACTTATTTTTTGCTGAGGAAGAGTGGCCCTGAGCTAACATTTGTGCCCATGTTCCTCTACTTTGTATGTGGGACGCTGCCACAGCATGGCTTGATGAGCAGTGTGTAGGTCCACACCCGGGACCCGAACTGGTGAACCTGGGCTGCCAAAGTGGAGCACGCAAACTTAACCACTACCCCAACCAGGCCGGCCCCTATTTGTTTTTTTAGATGATGAAAATGTTTTATAGTTGACCAGGATGAAGGTGGCACGTATCTGTGAATATGCTAGAACCCACTGAATTGTACACTTAAATGGAGCATTGTATGGTATGTGAATTACATCTCAATAAAGCTATTAAAAAAAAAAAAAGAGCAGTTTTTGCTTCTGAGGTGGGGGTGAGGAGAGGCTGCAGGCCGAGGGTGGCCCGCGGTCAGCTGTCCATCCACGGGAGTAAGTCTGGGAGACTGAGGAGGGAAAAGACCCAAAAACACCCCGGAAGGCTGAGGTCAGCTCAGCCCAGCCCCGAACCAGTAACCATTTCCTCTGTGGCTTTGAAGAGAAAGGCTGCGACCTTACTCTGTGGCCTGAAACCACAGACGAGGTTCCTGCTATGGGGTCGCCCCTCCCACATCAGGAGTGTTTCCCCACAGGCTTTTGGGGCAGCCACAGTTCTGAGGTCTGGCCCTGACACCCCTCCTCTCTGCCTCACTCCCGCTGGCCTCGTAATCCCAGTCCCCTGGGACTCTCTTCTCTACCCAAACCACCATCTGTAGCCCGGGCTGGCTCCGTCTTAATTTGCCCTCATTTTAACTTCATTTCCTTTTTAAAGACCCGACCTCCAAATACAGTCCCATTCTGAGGTCCTGGGAGTGAGGAGCTCCACATAGGAATTGAGGGGGACACAATTCAGCCTGTAAAAGGAAGTGAGACCGGGAAGGGAAGGCAGCTAGCAAAGGGGGTTCTGGGGCCAGTTACCCTCACGGGCAGCCGGGGGCTCAGCCCCGCTGGGGCCCTCTGGGAGATAGCATGGGACATGGGCCTTAGTCATCCCACCTGTGGACGAGGGAGCTGGGGTATTTATCCACCACCCTCCGTTAGCCATTGCTGAGGGCTGCTCCCCGGGGGCGTGAATTCTGGGGCACTTCTCCCCAGCTCCGTGCAGCCTCCAGAGAAAAATCATCTGACAAAAGCAACCACCATCTGGATGTTGGTGTGGAGCCTGAGAGGGTCTCAATGGCAAGGTCCACGTTTACCGCACTCCTATTCATCCCTCAGCTTTCAGCGTCACCTCCGCAGGCAGCCCTCGATTTCTCCACCCTTTTTATACACGCTCCTCAAACCCAGGCCTGTCTGATTCCAGAATATAAGCCCTTAATCCAGTGCTACAGTGGTCCCCAAGGTCACATCAGAGGATAAATGACCACTCCTCTGAGTCTTGGTTTCCTCATCTGGAAAATGGGAGCGATGTACCAGGGACAAAATGGAGGCGGGCTAGGTTCATAGCACAGGACTGAATGTGGCCGGGAGCTGCCCACAGGACCCCAGGACAACTTGCCCCCCACTGCAGGGTTTCCCCTCTGCCTCCGGGGAGGCACAAGCAGGATGGTTCTGAGCCCAGGGCTGGACTCCCAAAGGACTGGGTTCAAATCCCAGCTTTACCACTTCCCTGCTGTGTGGCCTTAAAAAGGTGACCTCTCCTCTCTGAGCCTTAGGTTGAGCAGCTGCTATGTGGTAGGCTGTGTTCTAGGACTGGGGACACAGAGGTGAGCCAGACAGACAAACGTCCCTTCCTGCCTGGAGCTGACATCCTCGTGGTTGTCATGGTGATGTGGGAGCTGGGGGGAGGGGAGACCACAAACAGATGTGTAATATAATGTAAAATGTCTAAATAGAGAGATGCCCCGGGAAAAAAATAAAGCAGATGTAGGGGAGCACTGTCTTCTACTGGATGATCATGGAAAGCGCCTCTGGGGACATGACCTTGAAATAGAGACCTGAAAGAGGAGGCAAGGGAGGAGCCCTGTGGGTACCTGAGGGACAAGCATTCCAGGCAGTGCAAACAGCCAGTGCAAAGGCCCTGGGGCTGAACAGTGTGTGGAACAAGGAGACTGGTGTGGCTGGAGCTGAGTGAGCGAGGGGGAGAGCGGGAGGAGGTGAGGGCAGGGAGGGGACGGGGCAGGTCGTGCAGGGCCTCGTAGGACACGGGGACGACTTTGGGTTTTATTCCAAGTGAGGTGGGAGCCATGGAAGGTTCTGAGCAGAGGAGGGAGGGGACCTGACTCAGGTGCTCACAGGCGCCCTCTGGCTGCTGCAGGAGGCACAGAACGTGAGAGGTGAGGACACGAGGGCGGGACGTAAAGGTGACCGCAGGGCCAAGCCAGCAATGGAAGAGACTGGCCCAGGGTGGGGGCTGAGACATGATTGATTGATCTGATACATACCTGATCAATTACAGGAGCCATCGCCCCCCAGTCCCCCGTCCTCGTGGCTACAGAAAACTTTTAATTATCTTGGCACAAGCTCATTTGCTTTCACCCAGCACACGCACAGGGCAGGGCAGAGCACCATCCTGCTGTCTAATTTTGGCCAATATCGTAGCTATACAGTGATG